AGCCACATCCCAGCTTCGCACAACAAATAACTTCATGGTGCGTTTTCAAAATCTCAAGCATTTTGCGCGTAATTCCGATTCTTCTTGACTATTTTGCAACGGTTTCTTTGGAAACTCTTCACGGAGGTTCTCTCCAGCAAATGACAAATCTGCAATGAAACAGTACTCCAGGAAAAACAAAAAAAAGGAAAAAACGAACCAGCTCAAGCTGGGCGAAAGATTCACTTCCAGAAGCCAAGGTTTCATCACAGTATCAATCAAAACATCGAAACCAAACAGCTCAAAGCAACACTTGGGATAGACGACAACATTTCTACTGGCTGCAGCAATCTGTGCTTGCACTGCGAGCAGTGCTTTCAATACAGCATCCTCCACACGCACCATCAGTACTGCAAAAAGGCTAGTACATCGCAACAGACCTGCTCCAGTCGTAACTCATTTTAGGTGGAAATCACAGCAAATCAGGAAGGTCCCTCATCTCAACTTACGTTTAGATGGTGGTACCTGAAGATGCCCCCGAGACATCTTAAGAGGGCTAAAGCCTTGCCAGGTGTTTCTGTTGAAAAAACAGTTGAGCTAATATTGCTCTTAGGAGACGAAATGATTGGCAGGTGCACCAGCAAGTTGACCACTGAGTGATGCAGAACTGATTAATAGCACTGGAGAAGTTTCCAGTTGTGCAACTGAAGAATCAGGTCATAAATCACAAGTAATCCAAACAACAAGGACTACAGCAATGGCTATTAGGACATTCCCACGAAGGAGAAGAATTCTCAAAAAGGCGTCACAGCTCAGAAGCGTCATGTTGCCAGTAAGAAACAATATGCGTTTTTTGCATTGCATAGATACAAAAAATGTAAAAAAAAAAAAAAAAAAAAAAACGACACTACTATATCACTTCAAAGAAGAAAGTGAATATTTTCGTGAAAAAAAAAACTAACAGTTGACATCCACACCATCAGCTTGCAGCTTTCGTAACAGTGCACCCAAAGTCCACTTGTGACCAGTGTCTTCGGTATTAGCGCTTTCATTCCTGGATGTATCAAAAACTACCAGAACATATATTTTTTGAACTAGTTTAACTATCGGATGTATTAAAAACTAAAAAAATGTTTTAACTACATCTTCTAACAGTCAGTTATGTTACTGGCATTAGCCTCATTCCTGCCAGACTGGAAGGATCGAACTAGTCATAAACGACAAATCATTATAACTCACACAATTAGCAATACCACACCAGAATTCGCTGGTATTTTTTTTTTTTTTTACAACGATTTATCAATTTATCACAAGTTCTTAATAGAAAGGCGACAAAAAATTTCAATGTAGCTGCTGCTAAGCGAAACATTTTGCCCTAACCTGAGCATCACGTTAAAAAAGTAGCAAGTTTGATGCGATACTCACGTTATACCTGAGAAAATGCAAATTTACATCATCTATCCAGTATATGAGACGGAATCACTAGTCCCCCCCCCCCCCCCCCCCCCCCCCCCCCCCCCC